ATATATATATATATAACCCCCAAGCACTGGCTCGCAGACACCCAGGAGCCCGGGGACCCCAGTTTGAGAACCACTTCTACTTAGAGGCTTTGTTCATTCTGATAGTCTTGCCGACAATTTCATAGTTGAGAAGGATTCCATTTATTGTCCTCCCAAATCAGATTATGCCAATTAAAACTGTAAACTGCATGATGATAACCTATGATTTAGGTTTTTATCAAACTATTTTTATAAAACTCACCTAACTAAACAAAGAGCCATTAATAAAAAAATAATAAAAAACTGCTCATGTATGCAGCTGTCATTAGATTTCCATGTTTCTGTTCTGTTGCCATGTTCCAAACTGTACCAGGACTTACAGCAGTGTCATGTTTCACTTTTTACTCTTCTTTATGTGTCAGACTCAGTAATGAAGTCTTCTTAATCTTCAGTCTCTGCGCAAAGGACACCGCACCCCTGACCTTCCAGGCATGTGTGATGTCCCAAGACTGTCATACATCTGATTGGTCATCGTGGGGTCCCTGCTCTAAGACCTGCCGGTCCAGTGATCTGTCTCCTGGTTACCGCCTCCGGTCACGGGTCACAACTCTGATCCCTCAGGGTGGAGGGAAACCATGTCCTGTCCTTGAGGAAAAAGAAGCTTGCAACATCATTGGGGATTTACTTCTTAAATGCCCGAGGTAACTGCTTATTTCTCTAAATAGTCATTTTTATTTCTGTTCAAAAACTAAACTTCTTTACAGTATCTGTTTTTATGTTAATCTATAAAAAGCCTCATAAACCAAATAATAATTTATTTAAAATGTACCTCTTTGCCTGTTTCCATATGATTATTTATGTCAGCAAGCTGTTACTGTAAAGGAAAATGTATATAATACTTTCTGTACTTGTTTGCTTTGCATGCTTTTATATATTAATATTGTATTTATTTATTCTGATCCTGGTAGCAACGCTTCATGTTTTGGTGGAACTGACCAAACATATTGATTTGACTTGGACAAAACATTCCTTGGACAGGAAAAAGCATTATCAGACCATAATTGTTTCACGGACGTTTGAGTAAAGATAAACTTTAGCTAATATAATATGCATTGAGCAAGTAGTCAGTGGAGAATTGCAACCCCTGCTAGTTGTCTTTATTTTTTTCCCTTTAAATTTACATGTAGTGCCTGAAAGCAGAGGATTTACATGATTAGGGAAAACTCATTACGGAAATTAAGCATTTGATAGATTACTAGGGGCTGTTGTTCTGGTAATCTCCTCAAATATTATTGCTTTCTGCATGACTACATTTTTCATATCGGAAACCAAACATTTATTTGGAAGTTTTGAAATCAAAATAATCATCCCACCCTCCTTCTGACACATTGTAAGAGAGCAGGCTCTTGCCAAAGACTGCACACGCTAATTTATCTTACACTTTGCAAGACTTTTTGAAAGCAATTGTCACAGAAGTGCGTGCGCTGATAGTTTATCCTTTTTAATAGCTTATCCTCTTTTTCATTCATTCATCGATTTGTTCGTGGATGCATGACAGCTTGAAGTGTGTGTGAAACAAAGCACACACATTTCAGATGTAAACTTTATGACCCTAACTCCATTCCCTGGTGGTTTTGCTTATTTATTCTGCAAATATCTTTTCATGCCCGTGTGTTTTGTCAGGTACATGTGGAGAGCCACTGAGTGGGGTGAATGTCGTATCCTGCCCTTACTGAGCCAACAGGACAGACGGCAGGTTAATGTCAGTATTCTGTGTGGAGGGGGGGTCCAGACCAGGAAGACCTATTGCGTTCAAGTCCCCGATGATTCAGCACCACATCACAGGAAGGAAGGTAAAACATAAACATTCACCTTCATCACCTCTGACCAAGGGCTTGTGGGAAGTAGACTATAATAAATAATGTTATTAAACACCATGTTGATATGGAGTTGCTGTTTAAGTATTTAAAGTGGTTGTTACTTGCAAACTACGACAGAGCTTTAGGGCCACGCTAAGGAAAAAATAAAAATAAAAGCCATAAAATTACAAGAATAAAGTCGTATGAGGCTTTTTTTCCCCCCAAGAGTCGGATCCATGACGCAACCTGTCAATCAATCCAGTAGGCGTGTCAGCAAATGACCAATCCGATGCTCCTTACCTGCAGAGAGCTGCTGCAGCCCATCAGAGCGTACCACCTTACTGTAAACAGGTTCAAAGTCCTGATACTGATAATAATATGATGCTGATGTGCTAACAGATGAAATATCTCCTTATTTGTAAAAACAATACCAAAGTATAACTTTACAAGGTGCTCAACATTGCTAAATGGACTGTAGCGCAGAGGTGTTGGGGTTGCAGAGAGACAGTTCTAAGTGAGTGGCTGGGTCTCGTCAGCCTCTTTCTGAGATATTTATTGAAGACTTTGTGCTGCACGCACAGTTTCGCTCACTGAGCGCAGTTTTCAAATGGAAACAAAAGTGAGAGTCATGACATAATGACATCACGTATATGCATCCCAGAGGCAGCATATAAAAACGCAACAGTGAGTGTCAGTATTAGAACACGTTTTGAGTAAGAGCGTCAATAACAATAAAGTTTAACAAACATTCTTTATTTTACCACAGTAAAAATGTGGTAAACCTGCTTTATCGTGTCGGAGTTCGGATCATTTTACGACTCGTATAGCTTCGGATTGGTTATTTGCTGGCAGACCTATTGGATTGATTAACAGGTCAAGTCATGAATCCGACTCGTGAAAAAAAAAAAAATTAACAACGGCTGTAAAAAAAAAAAAAATTAAAAAAAAGTCTTGTACAACTTTATTCTCGTAATTTTATGTCTTTATTTATATTTTTGTTTTTATCGTGGTAATGTATTTTTAAGGGCAGCACGGTGGCGCAACTGGTAGAGCTGCTGCCTCTCAGCGAGCAGGTCCCTGGTTCAAACCCCGGTCCAGGTGCCTTCTGGGTGGAGTTTGCATGTTCTCTCCGTGCATGCGTGGGTTTTCTCCAGGTACTCTGGTTTCCTCCCACAGATCAAAAACATGCATGTTAGGCTGATTGGTAACTCTAAATTGTCCCTAGGTGTGAGTGAGAGAGTGAATGGTTGTTTGTCTCTATGTGTCCCTGTGATGGACTTGCGACCCGTCCAGGGTGTACCCCGCCCCTCGCACAGTGATTGCTGGACATGGGCACCGGCGACCCGCGTGACCCAAAATGGAATAAGTGGGTAAAGATAATGGATGGATTTTTAATTTTTTTGTTTTGTTTTTAGCGTGGCTCTAAAGTTCTGTCGTAGCAGACAATTATGCTGGTGACAAAAAAAAAAAAAAAACATTCTGCAGCTGTAGACAGACAAATGTTCTTTTTTTTTTTTCCAAAATACACATCTTCTGTTTAATCATAGTGTGATTTACTAAGCCACAAGATACAATGGCCCCACGTTTTGAACAACAGAAGACCACTGCTCTGAATGTGGAATGACTTGTTTAATCTTTAATGATCAAATTTCTTCATTTCAAAAACAACTAGGACTTTGTATTTTAAACCTTCGATGTATATAGAATAATAACCCCCTATAATACCCAGAAAACAATAAAGCATTATAATATAAGAAACAAATTTAAAGAGGATTTCCACACTAACGGTATGGTAAAATAAGTGAAAGTTCTAAGTTTTAATGAACTGTACTGCATCATGTAAATGAACGGCTGCAGTCAGATAAAGAAGTGGGTTTGTCTTCTTTGTGTGGAAAATTAATGGAAGATATTGTCACTAAGTGCAGCAATTCAATTACATTTTGACAACTAAATTTTGTCTTTCTGTTTTTCCATACCCACTAAATAAAGGACATACCTGACAGCATTTTGTAATTTACTGAAAAATGAAAAAAAATAAAACGGCATTCCTTGTCTTTCCATTGTGGAATAATTAACCATTTGACAAAGAAGAAAAAAAAAATCATAAACTCAGTCATCCAGTTAGCTTAAAACAACAAAGGTCATTTCACTTTTCCAGATGACATGATTTAATCTTTTTTTTTAACAATTTGACAGTTTACAGAAGAATAAAACTTCACATAGACGCTGTATTTAATGTTGTTGGTGGTCACAAAATTATTGCAACAATTTTACTTATGGCAAAAATTGAAAAATGCAAACAATTATATATATATATATATATATATATATATATATATATATATATAT